AGGGAAGGTGTGAGTGACACAAGGCTGTCTCAGGGGGGAGCTGATGTTGGTTACAGCAGTTGGGAGAAACCCGTGAGCACTGGGGATGCCCAGGCTGTTCCCCAGGAAGGGCCCAGCTCTCCCACCAGTGTGGGCACAGCGTTGGCAGCAGAGGCAGCCCGTGAGCTGCCCAGTCCAGCTCCTGCCCCGCTGAGTCCCACGGAGGCCGAGCCAGCAGCTCCTGCCCCAGCTGGAACTGCTGAGCAGGAGGAGCCCCAGGAGCCTCTGGCTCCTGAGCAGACAAAGGCAGAAGGTTCTCCAGGCGTTGGGGAGCTGGTGCCATCAGCAGGGACAGAGAGCCTGGTCCCTGCCCCACAGAGCCCCTCAGAGGGCAGCCAGGCCCTGCTGGGCCAGCAAATCACCACTGAGATCCTGATAAAGGTTGAGCTTGAGATCCAGGGATCCAGCCAGGAGCTGGAGAAACAGGGAGACATGGAACCAAGCATGGGTGCAGAAATGCAAGAAAGAGCAGCAGGGACACAGAGCCTGGTCCCTCCCTCACGGAGCCCCTCACAGGGCAGCCAGGCCCTGCTGGACATGGCCGATGGCATCAGTACTGAGATCCTGAAGAAGGCTGAGCTTGAGATCCAGGGATCCAGCCAGGAGCTGGAGGAACAGGGAGACATGGAAGAAAGCACAGCTGCAGAAATGCAAGAAAGAGCAGCAGGGACACAGAGCCCCTCAGAGGGCAGCCAGGTCGTGCTGGGTACAGACCAGCAAATCACTCCTGAGATACTGAGCGAGGCTGAGCTTGTGATGCAGGGATCTGAGCAGCAGCTGGAGAAACAGGGAGACATGGAAGAAACCACAGCTGAAGAAATGCAAGAAACAGCAGCAGGGACACAGAGCCCAGTCCCTGCCCCACAGAGCCCCTCAGAGGGCAGCCAGGTCCTGCTGGACATGGCCGACGGCATCACTACTGAGATCCTGAAGGAGGCTGAGCTTGAGATCCAGGGATCCAGCCAGGAGCTGGAGGAACAGGGAGACCTGGAAGAAAGCACAGCTGCAGAATTGTTAACAGTTACAGCAGAGAGTACAGAGAGCCCGGTCTCTGCCCCACTCAGCCCCTGCTCCCCTCCCAGCCCCGTGGCTTCCAGCCTGGAAGTCCTGGTCGCCAGTGAGCCGCAGGACACAGAGGAGAGGTCAGTCCTGTCAGTGCAAGAGACTGAGGAGGGAACCTTGGCAGGGGAGGAGAAAGAGTGGAAATCATCCATTGACCAGGACCTGTCCCAAGGGGAAGAGGTCAGAGACCCACAGCTGTCCCAGTGGGAAGAGGACATCACCTCTAGTATCTCTGACAAGGCCTTGGGCCCAGGCAACCAGGAGGACGCCCTGGCTGTTCCCCAGGAGGGGCCCAGCTCTCCCAGCAGCATGAGCACAGCGTTGGCAGCAGAGGCAGCCCGGGACCTGCCCAGTCCAGCTCCTGCCCCGCTGAGTCCCACGGAGGCCGAGCCAGCAGCTCCTGCCCCAGCTGGAGCTGCCGAGGAGGAGGAGCCCCAGGAGCCTCTGGCTGCTGAGGAGACAAAGGCAGAAGGTTCTCCAAGCGTTGGGGAGCTGGTGCCATCAGCAGGGACAGAGAGCCCGGTCCCTGCCCCACAGAGCCCCTCAGAGAGCAGCCAGGCCCTGCTGGACACTGACCAGCAAATCACCCCTGAGATCCTGAGTGAGGCTGAGCTTGTGATGCAGGGATCTGACCAGCAGCTGGAGAAACAGGAAGACATGGAAGAAACCACAGCTGCAGAAACACAAGAAACAGCTGCAGGGACACAGAGCCCAGTCCCTGCCCCACAGAGCCCCTCAGAGGGCAGCCAGGCCCTGCTGGGCACAGACCAGGAAATCACCACTGAGATACTGAGCGAGGGTGAGCTCGTGATCCAGGGATCCGGCCAGGAGGTGGAAGAACAGGGAGACCTGGAACAAGCCACGGATACGGAAACAGTAACAACATTTACAGCAGAAAGGGAAGGGAGCCTGGTCCCTACCCCACTCAGCCCCTCAGAGGGCAGCCAGGCCCTGCTGGATACAGACCAGTCCAGCACCAGTGAATTCCTGAGCAAGGCTAAGCTTAAGGGATCCGGCCAGGACCGGGAGGAAGACCTGGAACAGACCTGGGATACTGAAACAGTATCAACATTTACAGCAGAAAGGGAAGGGAGCCTGGCCCCACAGAGCCCCTGCTGCACCCCCAGCCCCTCGGCTCCCAGCCTGGAAGCCCAGGCCCTCCGTGAGCAGGAGAAGAGGGCAGAGAGAGGGTCATTCCTATCAGTGCAAGACACCGAGGAGGGGGCCGTGGTTGGGGAGGGCCAAGACTGGAAATATTATGTTGACCAAGAGATTTTCCAGTGGGAAGATGAGGAAGAGCAAGAGCTGTCCCAAGAAAAAAACAAAACCTACCAGCGAGTGTCCCAAGGGGAAGAGCGCAGTGAGCAGGAGCCGTCCCCTGGACCAGTCAGGAGCCACCAGGAACTGTCCGACTGGGACGAATACAGCGAGGAAGAGGAGCCCC